CCAAATGGAGGAATTTTTCACTTAAGACAAGTCATTGTCTCAGCCTAAGATATTTTCCCTAAATGTATTTCCTTTTTTTTTTTGGAAGTTGTAATTAATGGTTATGATTAATATTAATGTCAGCTCATTTTGTTTTTGGTAACTAGAGATGCTTATTGTTGTCCTTACTATATTTAAAAACTAAACGAAAGAAGAGAGGCAAATAGTCTGATAACTTGTGAAAGAAATGTTTTAGTTTACAAAGATAACACATTGTTAAAATTAATATTAATCAAAAGTGCTACTTATAAATTGTAATTGTTAATTATTGTGCTGTTATWTTTATTTTATTTGCTTCTGCCTGTAGAGAAAGCTGCATGCAGTTTAAACGAAACAATAGAAATCCACAAGGAGAGTTTCACAGGCTTGACAGCAACAGGTAAATATTGTACAAATCCTTGGACAATAAGTAGTGCTTGCTGAGTAGGATAAAGGTCTAAAAAATTCATGACAGGGAAATCAGGTTTGCTATTATGTTATTACTTAATAATTCAATATTTTCAAAAGTTTTTGCTAGAGACATATTAATTTAACTTTAATAATTATTGTGATGAAAGTAAATTACGTGTGTCAATTATATGTAAATAAGGTGCTGACTATCCTAGTTTTTTGGGTTGTAAAATTCTTTATCACAGAAAAATGTGAATTGTTTGTATTGAGCATAGGGTCTGAGGCAGCTGCAGCTTGAAATCTTTCAATCTTTAGTATGGTTTATCTGCTGAGCCAAATGCAGTTAATTTGCTGGCAGGTTTAATAATTAGCAGTACTCATGGTTGTACAAGGGGGTCCTGCATGTCTGGTTTATGTTTGAGGCCAGATGCAATCCGATATCTTTCGAAACGATGAAACCATTTCGACCAAAGTTCAGCTTGTTGTAGTGAATTTGCTCCGATGAATTTTTCCAGAGGAGGGAGATTATTCGCCGTTTGAGCTTGAAGTTGAATTAGTCCAGGATTAGAATCTTCTGTATCGGGCATTATGTAGGGCTAACACCGCTGCCACCATGTAATATTATAGGAAGAAGCAGGACGAGACAAATATAAATGTCAACAGAACGACAGGTCTTCTTTTAATCAAGATGGCGGATCTATCTCCATGTGCTAGTCACGTGACATACGTACATATAATACACAGGGATACCATACTACAATAAGGACCTGCATGCAGACTATCATCCAATGTGTTTAAAGTTTGACATGATATTGTTTTGACTGGATTTGAAGTACAATTTTAATACAGACACTTTGCTCCAAATCAATAGATGAAAAGTCAAATATCAAGGTCGATGTGGAACTCTTGAAACTTGCAGATCATGATACTGGCAGTACAGCTTCAGTTTCAGCAATGGAGCCAGGAGGATGTCAGAAGGCATCCACATCTCCAGGTGCAAACAGGAAAAGACGATCTGATATGGATTTAGAAGATCTCCAACCACTTAAGGAGAAAGTCCTATGCCTAATTGCTCTAAATTACCTCAATACTATACCACCACAGAGCAAGGATGAACACAATGAGTTTCATGAATACTTGCTAAAAATGAAGGTCCTCATTACAGGTGTTTCTGTAGGAAGTTTGGTGATAACAGTAAAGTTTGACTCTCTCAAGAGCTTAGAGGAATTATGGAAAGATTACTCATGTGGCCTTTTGGGTAAGATGGTTCAAGATTGTTTTGTGACTGAAAAGCTCTTGAAGGAACTGAACCTGGTAGAGCTGAAGCTGAAAACAACAATGGACATGGAAGAGTGCAATGCATGCAAACTCCACTTTGAGAAGGATGCACTCAGAGGTCAGTAAAAGGAAAGGAACAAGGCTGGTCCTTTGAAAAAATGTTTTAGAAAGATTGTAAACACAATCCATGGTTCTTTCAAAATGGTGTACCATAAGGTTTACACACATGAAGGGAGGGGTGCAGATTTTAATCAAGATGAGTTAGCTGACATACTGACCACGTGAGCCATGAAAAAAATAATGCCAGAAGTGATTTCTTTTCAAG